AAATAAAATTTCCCGAACATATATTAGATTAGGTGGATTAATCATATCAAGCTTATTCTTGTTATAGTTGTAAGGTATGGGTCGAATTCAGAAGTTAGGTAATTTGCAGTGTTTAAATTCACTGTTTGTTTGAATGGGGGAGACGGGGGAGTTTGTTTTAAATAACTGTTCGTTAGTTAATTTCCGTTTTTAATATATTAATATAGGTTTAACTGTTTTTCATCTCAATAATTTCTTGATGTTATTAGTGAACTAGCTTGTTAAGCTTAACAAGTTTTTATAAAAACTTAAAGTTTAAGCATAGTTTTTTTATTAAATAATTTTCAAGTTAAGTTAAGTTCAAAGTAAATTAGATTATAAGTTTGAGACGAATCACATCATTTATTTTTTGTAGTACGTCAAAATAAATTCATCGTGTATATTAAAATTAAGCCTAAGATAAGTATAATTTTGAAAATGTTTACAGGTCTTAGGTTTGATTTGAAATGAAAAACAATATAAAATTTAAATTGAGAATACATGTAATTTAAAAGTTTTATTGAGAATATATAATTTAAAACAACCGGAACCAAAAGTTTAATTTAATATAAAATGTGCATGCTACGTAACATAATTTGAGTCTTTCTAATTAATGCTCTAATTTTTTTACGAAACTAATCAAAGATCGAAATGTTTTCCTAAAAAAATATATTAAATTGCATTAAATTATAGTGAGAGATTTATTAATGATATTTTTCAATTTTTTATTTTTAATTCTTTAATTTATTTTTGAAATGACACGAATTTTAAGATAAAAAGTTACTGTAAAGTAACAATATTTAGTTCCAATATTTGTTCATGTCGCGTTCTCTCTCTAAGTCTTTTTTATAAGACATTTTTAACTAAATTATACAGATTGATAAAAATAGTTAAAATTAATTAAAAAATTTTATTTTAAAATTTTTTCTAAGAAAATAATTTTATTCTCATGTAACCCTATTAAACTTAACTTCACCGTCAACTTCTATACTTTTTAGTGTTAATTTAAATTTATTTACCACACATATCATTTAGAAGTTAGTTGAAGATTTGCACCATACTTAAATATATTTTGTACACGTGTAAGTCTAATGTAATGTGAATTCACTAAATTTGTTTGAATTTCAAGTTGATCATATTAAATCGTTTTAAATTTCAGAGTTTCTAATCAAGATTTTTTAATTTTTAGTTGAAACATAGACCATAAGAACATAAGCTTGTAATTAGTGTTGTCTATTTAGACCGAGTGTCAACAATTAATAAACAAGTACATTTAATTTTGATTCTATCATTCATCATTAGCTTGCGCGTCCCATTTTACTACTTGCTAAACTCAGTAGCACGTATATTCACCACCATTAAATTTTACTCGATTAAGCAATTAACTAGACCATATGATCCTATAGTGGTTGGCACCGCATTATATACGTATAGTTTATAATTGTAATTTTTTATATATGTATGTGTCTAGTTCCTCTGCATCAGATTATTCTACTATAGAACAATTAATAAACATATCCATGAAACAACATATTACATCACATAATCTTTCAATCAATTACACGGAGGACACTTGGTGACTAGAAAACCAGAACCTTCGTATCATACGTAACTAGTAACCCACCTAGAGTCTAGTCTTGTAGCTTCTAGCTTCTGCTTCAAGCAAGATATATATACTTATAAGAACATATTAAGATGAAACCTTGAACATGCAGAAGCATAGAATCTGGAATGAAGCAAGCAATTAACGGATCCTTTTCAAGTGAGATCAGAATACAAAGAGTTTGTTAACCAGAAAAACGAACACTTAAGCATATGTTGCTGAGTCATAGTGTGTTTAGGTGAGGGTCTCATCCACGTATACACATAGATGCGCGTACACTTACAATTCAACGAGTGACTTTTTATTATAATTAATCAAATTTCGAAGAAAGTAGTGAAATTTTCAAATATCGCATGATAAACTTTGATATATCGTCAGTCCCCCAGTCCATGCCTTGCATAATTAATTGTTGTTTTGAATAATTTTTCTTTTCAATTTAGAATTGACAATTTTGTCGGTAATGAATGAACAGTGCAATATACACAACTTGCCAACGTTTTTGTGAAATGCAATATCCTAATTTTAATATGTGATTTTAAAAGAAATGAAGATTATAATATAAAAAGTGCAACCACTTTGTGTTATTTATTGATCACTGAGATCTTGGGTAGGTCTGCACTTCTGATAATACTTTCGGGGTCTTGATCGAATTAATTAATTAATCATATTTCTTATAGTGTGTCAATAAATAAACACATGACGAATCTTTCATGGATAACATATTTCTTTTTAAAAATTGGAGTCAAGTTCAAAGCCGTATATTGTCTCACTTGTCAGCTACCTATATATACTTTATTCTCATCTATATATATAAAAAAAGACAGCAAAATTTTATGTCTCCATCTCGTGTCACAACCTAATATCTTCTCATTTTTCTTTCCCCAAATATACACGCTTTATTTTATCAGCCACCCCATTATATATTGATTGTAGCTGTTTTCATTTTAACAGTATAAAAGGATTAATATATTGTCCTTTCATTTTCTTTGTTTCTACAATTCAATGGCCTTCCATCTTTATAATGATTGATAATTTGAAATAAATAAATATTTAAATATAATTGTATCTTGGATAATTCATTGAATATTTTTTTACAAATTTTAATTTTCAAATTTAAAATCATCTTAATTTTATGTAAATAGTAAAATAATCTTATGTATTCTTTTAAATAATAGGTTAATTACTTTATTCAAAAAAAATAAATTGAGTCAAATATCCATTATGTCCAGAAAAATGATTAATTTTTAAATGTTAACTAAAATTTTTAAATTTATACTGATCATTGTATACACAATATTATTTATAATTTTTTTGTCAAAATTTAAAATTAAAACTTATTATTTTATTCTGTATATACTCCAGGTATTTGGGTCAAGTGGTATCGAACTTTCCACCTGACTACTGGGCTTGGATCAATTCAGATGGTACCATAAAGTAATCCAGATCCAGCAAGTTGTGGGCTTTTACCAAATGTACGACGAAAATGGACCAGAGGATTTAGCTTTAATGGATTCTAGGCCTCTCTACACCTTTTGCTGCGGACTTTTTTTTAAATTGCATTATGACATTTTTTTTAAATATATTATTTATAAGTAATAAAATTTTAAATGAATTTTTATCCCTCAAATATTTATATATTTTATTCAATTTCTCATTAATTTTTTCATATAAATCTCTAAAATTTCTTTTTCATTTTCAAATAATTTATTTATTAATAATTATTTATATATTTATCTAGTAGCATATCATGTGTTTCATACAAAATAACATAAAGTTGATATAAATAATAACGTGAGATACCTTATTTTTTTCATATACTTAAATTTTAATTTCAAAAATTAATATTATTAATAGCATATTATATCTATATCATATTTGAATTAAATTATGAGTTAACTCAAATATTGTATGAATAAATAATAAAATAAATTAACGTATTATTAATAGCAATATGAAATAAAATAAAAATAATTTCAGTAGGACTAGATTAAAAAATAAAAAAGGAGAGGTTAAATTAAAAAAAATGTAAAACTAAAATCTAATTTAAAGTTTTACAAAGACATTAAATCATTGTTTACGATATTACAAGATTTTCAAATACATATTTAAATTAAATTTAAAAAAAGAATTATACAAATAAAGACGCGTTAGAACGACCTAATAGCGAAGCTGGTTTAGCAAAAAAACAGTTGGCCATGTGTTCTTATTTTTCGGCGGCAGTCATTATTAAAATCCGCGGGATGAAGGAATGAAAGCATCAATTCTCTTTTCTTTTTATTTTTTGGTCTGAACCAAATACATTTAAAATTCATAGTTAAACTCTTAACACAAGTCAAAAATACACGCAGATCTATTTCACCTTTTAGTCACTTCAAGTCTTAAGTTTTCCTTTATTAATCTTTCTCCAAGATGGGGTCAATTTCAGTCATTTTCTTTCTTTTTTAATACAAATGTTATTAGTAGTGTATTTTTATATGATTACAAATGTTATAAACAACTAACCAGTGAGTCATAAGTACTAACAAGGGCCATTATCCTTTTGTTTCACCCAAAAAAATATTATTACTGTAAATAATGTGATTTTCACCTTCATACAAGGGAGGAAAACTTTTCCAGAACGTAGTGCGTATTTGATCATCTAGAGGATTTAAATTTAGTCTTAAAAAATCAAGCTCTTTACTATTTAAATTAGCAAACCTTAACAGATATCATAAATTTAAAAGGTAAGATTTATTTATAAATTTGGAAATTCAAATATTAATATTATTATTTTAATAAAAATATTTAATGTCAATCCGAGTCAAAATAAAGTGAACATTTTTCAAAAGCAAACCTTATAAATTTTAATTGCTCAACTGCTGATTCCTCGTCTTCCCCCAGTTTTCCTTTTGCCGACTTTGCAAAAGGTTTTTAGGCACAAACTCTGTACAAATACAGGCCGGAACATTGCCACTTGCCATACAGATTTTGAGCCTGTCATTGATGGCATTCAAAACCCGAAGAGCAATTTGAGTATATATACATACAAGTCCTTCGTTTTATTAAGAAAATTTCAAAATCAGAGTTTTAAATTTACAGTTCAAATAACCTTCCAATGAAGAAGCTAACACCCATTATTAACTAATTAATAAAGAAAGTTAAATAATAAATAGGTGGGGTCATGTGTCTTGTATGCTGAACCAATGATGGCATATCAGTACAAAAGTTGGCGTCTGGAATATCTAAGATTCACTTTCCCAATACTTGGCGCAAGGATTTCAACTGCACCTGGTTTTGTTTTCCTTTTAGTAATTCAGCCAAAACTACCTGTGGTTTCTCACACCCCTCTTTATCCACATATTTAAAAGGGTTGAAATGAGAATGAGGGAGCAAAAGCAACATGAGTGGCGCAACCAAATCATGGGTAGTGGCATCGAGCATTGGAGCAGTGGAGGCCTTGAAAGACCAGCTGGGGGTATGCAGATGGAACTATGCTTTGAGGTCATTACAGCAATATGCCAAGAACAATATCAGATCTTATAGTTTAGCTCCCAAATTTTCTTCTGCTGCAATTTCCAACAAGGTTGAAAGAACAAAGGAAGATTCTATGAGTAAAGTCATGGAATTCAATTGCTGGGGTCCCAGTACTACAAGGTTTTAGTTGTCTAAGGGGTTACCATTAGACGCTGAACAGTGTCTGCATATACAATCCGAATGTACCATTGTACTTTCTGTTGTAATACTTGTTAGTTGTCTTGTCATCTCCTCAGATTTTGCATCTGCTTCCTTCAATTATAGAAAATATAATTATATACGAAGAAAATGCAGGTCTATTTTCTCATCAGCTTTTCATTCTTTCGTCACCAAAAGGGTGTATTTTACTAGTAAAATACCAATATCAAAAATAAATGTAGATACATATGTGTATCATTTTGGAGCCAAATTCACATTCATTTTAAAAATTTATTATGATTAAATTCGAAGGATTTAATAGCGTAGGCAATTATTTTTAGATTAGTTTGTAGCAATAGATTTTCGTTAATGATATACTTAAAAACACTATTATAAGTTTTCAATTAAGTTTTTAATAAACGCATACATATGATGAGATGACTTATATTTGACTTTTATTTATGACGTGTTCTTTCTCTATAATGTAATTGTTTGGGGAAGAAAAAAAAATCTCCAGCAAGGAATATATAGCGTAATTTAATTATTAATTTAAAAGAGATTAATATAATTATTAATGAATGATATTCGTAATGTAGACAAAAAAAAATTTGTTGAAATTAGTCGACTCTCAATAATCTGTCAAGCCAATTCAAAGAGTTGAATAAATTGCCATTTTCATTTTAAAATATTCAACTATAAATATTTCAAAATTTAATTTTAAAATGTATCAAATTTTAAAATAGTGATACAGCATATTTTAAATTAATCATTTGAAGTTTTTACATTAATCTAATAATATTTGTGCAATATTTGAAAAAATAATAATTTTTCAAGAATTGTAATTTTAATCTTGTTGATTAAGTAAAGTGTCATTTACGAGTTAAATATGTTTTATATTTTATAAAAAATTATAATTATAATTTAAGCCTTAAATTAGGTTCTACTATGATTGATTGTCGTTTTTCAAAATCTAAGAAAACAATTGATATGGAATATTCGCTCCTGATTTTTTTACGTTACATGGAACTTCTAATGAAGAACCGAAGAAGAGTGGAACCACACATTTTTTTAGGTACATTATTTAATTAATTTTTGAATACATATATTATTATTAAATAAACTGCCGGTACCATGAATCTTGGTATGACCAAACAACAAAAGAAAACAACAACCGTGTGGATTTTGTACAAAGCTAGGATTGTGTCCCAAACAATGGGTGCAAGCTGCAATCGCCCCTGGTTTTGCTTCTCTGTGTCCCTTTCCACCCCAAACCAGCCTGTGGTTTAGTTCTAAACTCCCGTTAGTAAAAAATCACTTAACAACCCACTTATATATGGGAACCAACAAACACACCCACCCATCAAAACAACTTCTTAGTCACACCAATATTCAGATTCATCAAAAGCTATAACAATGAGTGCAGCCACCAGAGCTTGGATCGTGGCATCAAGCATAGGAGCAGTGGAGGCCTTGAAAGACCAATTGGGGGTGTGTAGGTGGAACTATGCTTTCAAGTCATTGCAGCAACACGCTAAGAACAACATCAGATCATACACTCAGGCCAAGAAATTGTCTTCTGCCTCTTCTGCTGCTGTTTCCAACAAGGTCAAGAGAACCAAGGAAGAGTCCATGAGGAAAGTCATGGAATTGAATTGCTGGGGTCCCAATACTGCAAGGTTTTAATGTGAATGAATGCCTATGTAATCTCAATAATTATTATGCTGCAAGTGACTACTTTGTAGCCCTGTCATCTTAGTATCTTGTGTATCTCATTGATTCATCCAAAATTTTGCCAATGATATGGTAAATGTATGACCCAATATAAAGAAAATTTAGGTCTACTTTTCATTTATTTTTTATCTGTTTATTTCAATTTTAATGATGTGAACATATGGATCCGCTAATATTTGTAGAGGGTAAATCCGGGTTAGTATGTTATACCTCTTATGGAGTATATCAAATAGAGGAAATGATAGAAGAGAACTTCCAAACTCACATCTAGACGAATGCTCACAAAGAAAAGGTTTGAATTTGCTGTGTCGGTTGTGGCTTGATCTAAACGATTTTTGTCTCCGATTAGTCATTTTGTTCATGGATTAAATCTCTAATACTCGGTGTTATGGGATATCTAGTGCTGTCAAAAATCAATGGATATAAATCATGATTCGTATTGTAATCATGGTCACGGTTGTGGAGCAAACACCTTGATATTAATTGCGTCAAATTGTGGACATATATGTGGTTTTGGAGATTCTATTATGTTTACAATTTTTTTCATGTTGCTTTGATCAAATTACTATATTCTGGTTGGAAAACAAATCAAGGATATAAACAATTAATAAAAACAAATCACATCAAATAATCAATCTAATTGTGACCTCATTTGCTGTCATTTTTTCAAATGAAGATGCTTTGGATTTCATCCTATTAACAATTTACGACATATGATTACTGTTTGTGTGAATGATGTGAGCAAAGTATAGAAAAACTTTGTTACTTCTCAAGGCAAAGACTAATCAATGAAGGATAAAATATACTTTACGTTATTTACAGATTATTGGCTATGATGCCAAATTTCTACATTAAAATTGGACATTAATCTGTTTACACATTCCACTCCTCAATATCCAGAACACCCTTCAGGGTTGAATCAATTAATCACTCGCTGATTTCATCGTTCAATATTTACATCATAATCAACAAATTTTCGACTAGATTTCAATCAACCAACCCATCAGAATCTCTTAAGATCAAGAAGTGGCTTTGACAATCCGATCAAATTGCCAATCCTTAGATTATGATCACAGTCAAAAAGAATCTTAAAGGATCTGAACTGGGGTAGCAATTTCAATAGGGCCTTGCAAGTTTTGGACATTGGAAGATCCTAAACTTTAGTAGATACTCACAAAACTATACTCCTCTGCATTTGCTCCTGAGTTCTGGTAATTACTTCAAAGATAATGATACTAATTTTGAATGTGTGTGACTATAATAGCAATGAAGAATAAGAAATTGAAGGCAAGTCAAATTTGCTTTTGTTTTCTAGCTGACCACCAAATGTTTTGCATAAAGATTAAGCATTTAAGGTTGAGCAACATTTACAAACCTTGACAACATAAAAAGGACTTTGGTAAAACATTGTTTGTGAAAGACAAATGAAGAACTTGGAAAGCATGACATGTGAACAAAAGAAACATCTGAGATCTAGTCAGGGATTCATTATTCTTCAAATTCAAGGTTCTAAGTTTGAGGCACCTTTGTGTCTGTTGGAATTTAGTTACACACATACGCATTAAGGAAACCTTATCCAGATCCTCACTCCATTCTATTCATCTGGAACCTCAGTCAATTGCAACCCAGCCTTCACCAGTCAATTGCAAAGTCTCTCTCTCATTGCAATTCTTGATGAATGATCGTTTTGGGGTTTATTTGTTGATTATGCGTCACATTTTAATCTATTTTGGTGTAAAGAATAGCTTTTAAGGAAAAAAAATTTCTTGCTGTAATTTTTCATCATGATTGATTGTTACTTCTAAACATCTAGTCTGCTTTATAACCTGTTTACGGTGAAAAATGACAATTGTAAACAAATAATCTAAAGATCAATCTGGGGACTGGATTTAGGTCCTCTTTGGGTTCTTTTAAATGTGTTGTTAACGTGATGCTCAAATTAACGGCGTAAAAGAGTATTAAGCAAGAATAGTGAATAATAAATAGGAAGAATTAAACCAAACATAGATGCTTTTACAAAAATGTAGTAAACAGGAAACAAACAGTGTACAAAGATACAAGCAACAAGCACTGAAATTAAAATGCAGAAAGGTAAATGCGGGAATGTAAAGGTGCTGGAATGTAAACGTACGACTCCTCACAACGGCCACCGTGGGTCTCCTTGTAACTGGTGTCTGGCGCGGTGCAAGGTTTCAGCGTCTCAGAGAGTTTAGGTGCGGTGTTTGGGTGCAAAAAGTCGTCCTCTGTGAAATAGTGCTTTGGGGTATTTATAGACATGAAGATCACCACAGTTTTCCTCCTTTTGCAGGCACTTCTTAGTAACTGACTTCAACTGTTGATGCTCACTATCCACGATTGCTTGTGATCGTGTTATTTGTTGGGGCTGTAACCGCTATCGCCTATGATCTCCTTTGCGTAGTGGTGAATGTTGATAACTACTGGTAACCGCTTTTGGATTTTTCAATACTCCTATCTTTCGAATATTTCTGAGAGAAATCTAGGAGACTCTTTTAATGTTATGGCTTATAATAGTTTCTTCTTGACTTCTCTTTTCGAGCCATCCTGGAGTTTTGAGAGCCTGTCTTGGTCTTGTGGACTTAGAACATTTTGCTCATTTCTGTTTTTCGAGCAATTCTGGAGGGACCCTGAAGCTCGACCAGATTTGTGGACTTAAAATATTTTCCTGTTAGACCTGTTTTTTGAGCAGTTTTGGGTGTCAGGGACTTGAAAACTCCTCAAAAAATCATCGGTTTTGTTGACTTGGAATATTTTCTTGCCAGTTCTATTTTTTGAGTAGTTTTGGGTGTCAGTGACTTAAAACTTCTCAAAACTTCTCGAAAAAGCCTTTAGTTTTGTGGTCTTAGAATATTTTCGTGTCTTTCAAGCAATTTAGAGAAGACTCAACAATGTGACAAAAATTTCCTAAAATAGCTCGAAATGTGTTCCTTTTAATTAAAACCAAAGATCTTCCAATATTCTCTTATATTCAGGTTTATCTTTGGCTCTTTCTTGACCCTCAAAACTTGTTGAAATGTAGTTTCTTTCAAGATGATTTTTAACTTAGAAAATTTTCCTTATCCCAAACATAACCTTAAAGATAAAATAAAGATTTTAGATTAAACTTCAACATTTATAATCATTCCATTTTCTAAAATGAAACAAAATAAAAAAATATTATATGTCAAACTTAATCAAATTACACATCTAATAATTGTTTAATCAAAACTAATTTTTATCAATATAACAATTGATTAATGTAATTATCATGATAATAATGTATATAAAATTTTAAATAATTTAGACATTTTTAAATATGTAATTCAATAAAATATCTTTATTTATATTCTAATAAGATATAATATGTTAAACTAATATAGAGTGATAAAGTATTGATTAGTTTTTAAATTATATAAAATAATAAGGATTAAGTTGATAACATTTATTTTTGATAAAAAAAATTATTAAATATATCATTTTAGTAAGTTTGACACCTTGCGTTATTTAATCATATCCCTTCTAAATACTATTTTTAAGAATTTTTTTATAGTTAAAAATATTAAAATATAAATAAATTTCATCTTTCTTGAAAGTAAAGTATATAGATAAAAGAAAATAATAAGAGAATAAAAAATATAGATTAATCAACTTTTAAGAAAAATAATATAACTTACTTTATTATATTTAGTGATTTTCAAAGTTAAACCATTAAAATATGAGATTCCCAAAATTAAGTTTTTTTTTAAATCCCAAAATTTATTTACACTAAACGTGTTTTAATTAATAACATAATTGAGTAGTTATACAACAGAGATTTGATACATGAGAATTTATTTATGAATTTAACTGAATTTATTTTAATCAAATGTGTAATTTTTTATATTTTAATAAAAATTATTAAAACAATCTCACAATAATCATAAATAATTTTTACAAATTGAAATAATTTTTTAATTTAAAACCAAATTTCACATATTTTTTTATCCCCTCTTTTTTTTTTCTTTTTCGTACCATATCATCTTTATATCTCATTTTTTTTAGTCTCTTTTTTTCCCGTTCATTTTGCTCTCTTCTTTCTACATACAAATAGAGGTATTCATTGTATTGAATAAATCTGATAAATTAAACAATTGATTTGGTTCAACTTTTTTACAAAATTCAGTCTAACGTGAATAAACTAAACCAATTAAACTTTTATGATAGAATTAAACATTGAATTGGTTTGTTTCAAATTCGTTATTGAACTTTTAAAATTTTGAATCAAATTGATTCAAAACTGGTTTTAAATTCTCATATAAAATGGAATCAAATCAACCCATCTGCACCCTACTCAAAAGAGTAAAATAAACACTCAAACTAAATCGCTTTTTTTTCTTAACATTCATACTACACCATAAGAGTACAGCTTCAACTGATTCAGAGGCAGGGTTGGTTGATCGGGAAGCATATTTACCTCCCACGTTCACTTACACGATAAGGTGAAAATAAAATCAACAAACCCAAAGATTTAAAATCTAAAACCAAAAAGAAGAAGAAGAAAGAAAAATAATCTAAGACCAAGAGGGTCCCCAACAAATCAAGTGTAACATATTCTCAGTTTTCTCCATCTTCCTCTTTTCATCAACGTTGCACATTTTGGACTGCGTTGCAATATTAGAATCAACGAGGCACATACCACTATTGCCCTTATTGCAACAATGTTCTGCCACCGTAACATTTCGCTTTTCCGGCAACAATTTTTTGAATGCCCTCTCCGATTTGCACACTCTCCTATTACCATTCATCGTTCTCCCTTTTTTCTTAACCAAGGCTCCAATATATATTCACGAAATAACGAACAATAAAAGTACAAATGTGCTAGGGAGTGTCTTCAAACATTGATCACTTGGGAAACGAACATGTCTTTCTTGAAATATTATATTGCTAGAGAAGGTTTATATACATGATACAATAATAACATTTTTATTTTTATTTTTCTGTCTCGAATTTTCCTGGGAAAGTGACTCTTTTTGAAACCGGGGTTCAGCTCCCAGATTTTGTAACACCCGGTTTTGTAATTCCAGCAAATTTTTTTGTCCTTGTTTCTTTACGGCAAAAGCTAACCTGTCCTGACAAAGTTAATTACAATAAGGTATCGACGAAGACCCTTTTGTAACCTTCATCATGGGATGAACATTATGGGTTGTTTTATTTTGTATAGATACAAAGATGTGCCTTAATTTGAAACCTCGTTGATGTAACCTCACGCAGCTCCTGATTTGGTAACATGGAATTTGTAATCCAACTAATTTTCTTGCCCTTGGTTTTTTGGTGGTATAGCAGAAACTAGCACCTAATAAAGGAGAGTGTTTCAGTGCCGATTGATTTATAATCTGATAGAACAAAGCCAAGTTAATGAGAAGCACCTTAATGGGACATGGATTTTTATTTTATTATTTAAAAAATATCGTGGACATGTGAACCTTGGTGTGTGTTAGGAGCAACATTTTCTGATACCACCAAATGCAAAACCAAACCTCGTCTCTTCATAGATTTGTAATGGATCGGGCCTTGTTATTATTTTTATTGTGGAAGAAAATGAAGACACTTGAAACTGGGCTAGTCTGTTTGAAAGTTGAAATCCAATAAGAGGAACCGGAATTGATATTTTGTAAAAAGGGAAAATTGACATTAATAGGAGAGAGTGGTAATGATAAAGTGGAGTAATAATCACAGGCTAACAGGTATATTCATTTAATGGGAAACAAAAAGGGTGAAAGTGGATTCATTGGTTGAAGAATAGAAAGAAGGAAAATAATAGGGGAAATCGTTCTTTGTGATAAAGCAAAGGAATGTCATAATAATTCCCATAATGAATTTCCCAACGAACAACAAACCCACACCAACAAACCTAGCCCACATTTGTTAATGCTCCCTACATCAAGCCTCACCTAACTTAATCTCCCATCATTAATACCTTCACCCTTCAATCCTAACCCAAACCCATGCCTTGTTTGCTCTAAGGATTTGACCCTTTCAGTAATATTTATCTTTAATTAACAACATATTCTCTTATTCAAGAAAGATAGAAATACCTTTTTTAAATACAAATTTTAATATTTTTTATTAGAGGAAGACTTGCATTATTTTTTTATTTTTTAAATAAAATTTAATCAATGGTAAAAATATATTTAAAAGATTATTTGCTATTTTTTTATTATTTGATTATCATTTTTTAACTTTAATTTTTATGATTTATTTTAATTATTTAATAATAATTTTTTTAAAAAATATTTATTATACTTAGCTTGTTCAACATTACACATTATAATAAATTATTAAATAGAATTTTTTATTAAAATTATAATATTTAATATTATTAATATATTAAATTTTCTAATTTTTTATAAAATTCTGTTTTATAAACATTTTGATCAGATTATTATTACACAAATTAAAAATTATATAATAATAATAATAATTTAATAAAACATTATTATTGTAAATTATTTAAACTCAGGTATAACTTGATTGACTAATTATAAATAAAGTTTTGTTAATTTCAGTCCTTAACACAAATTTAAGTATCTAAAAATAAAAAATATTTATAAAAAATATACAGTTATTATATTAAAATTATAAAAATATAATAAATATTTTTTTAATAAAATTTTATTATTATTAAAGAAATTAAGGTTAATAAAATAATTGTAAATAAATGTTACGAATCAGTATTCTAATTCTAATAATGAAAGTGTTGAATATAGCATTAAAAGGAAGACATTGTTATCAACATATGTTACCCTAATTAGAAGCAACTTTTTGGATATTTAAATTCAAAATTTATAATAGTATTAATATTACTACATAAAAATTCCAACTTTAATGTAGTTGAATAAATGGTGAAGAGCGTGTGCATTAAATAAAACGAACGCTACCTGAAGGACACGTTGCGAGTGCAGGGGCGTCGGCATAAAGTCGTTGACAGTCGAACACAAACTCTCACTTCTTCTCCCTCTTCGCTTTCTTCTGCAACATTCCAACCTCAATAATCCAATTCCTAAACAAAACGCTGCGTTTTGCATTCAATTTCAATTCCTCACCGGAGCCCCTAACTCCATCACTTGCCGGCGATACCATGGCCATCGCCGGCCGCCATAAGCCGAGCTCCGACGTGAAGCTCTTCAGGCTATGCCCCTTCTGGAGTTCGGGGAACGCTTTTTCGCCACAGAACCACTCCGAAGGGAACGCTAAGAGGTCATCCAAAACGGTGTCGTCTGTTGCAAGGTCGTTGCTACCTCCTCGGCGGAGACTCCGTCTCGATCCTTCCAATTACCTCTACTTTCCATGTAAAGCCATTCGGATTCTGATTTCCATCGCATTTCTATGTTTCGTTTTGTTCTTTGCGGTGCTTTTCTTTCTCAATTCGTTGTTTCTTGTGCCGTGTTTGCTAATTTTAATTGTTAGTGCTGAAATTTTGATTTCTCGTTGTTGTGAAGATGAACCGGGGAGGCAGGTTCGAAGTGCGGTTCGGTTAAAGAACACTAGCAAGTCTCACGTTGCTTTCAAGGTGTGTGGATTTTGCTGGTTTTCAATTGTTGCGGTTAACGATGCATGAAACTCCAACATTGCAGGATAACGTGTTGAAATTTGAATATAAAACGGTTTATTATATCATATATCGTTTAGTTTCATGTGTTTCTAAAGTTGAAACAACGTTCGGTTCTGTTTTATTTTTACGTATGAAAATTTGCATTTACTCATAGTTGGTGACTTTTTCTAATGGATTTCTTAACTCTTATTGTAATTTCAGTTTCAAACTACGGCGCCGAAGAGTTGTTACATGCGGCCTCCTGGTGGCATTCTTGCTCCTGGGGAAAGTTTGATTGCAACTGGTAATTTTTTTAATCCGTATGTTGTTTTTGGAAATTTCATTTGTCGTCTTGTTAGTGTTTTTTTTTTTTTTTTTTTTGGTGTTATATATTAATGTTACTTTCCAAATTTGGTGCTCAGTGTTTAAGTTTGTGGAGCAACCTGAAAACAATGAAAAGTTGTCGGATCAGAAGAACAAGGTCAAGTTCAAAATCATGAGTCTCAAAGTGAAAGAAGGAGTGGACTATGTACCTGAGCTGGTATGTCTGATACCTTCTGATATAGTATTATATAGAATATCTCAATGAAGAGAGAGAGAGAGAGAGAGTTTCTTCCTAGTTTGTACTTTCTTTTTATTCTGTTGGCTAATTTGTGAAACCTATGATATAAAAGAAAGTTGAGTAATTTCTGCTAAAACCAGTAAATCTGTATCATCAAATTCAAACTTGATTGCCCAGAAGTAAAAAGGAGAAAACAAATTTAGTAGTTTTATTTGTTTTGAATTTACTACTATAATTGGAGATTTGTCAAATGCTGACACTTTTTTCAAAGGTTATGTTTCATAACTTTATACGGCTACTACAACACTTCATGGGGCATTTGATTGAATAGCTAATTAGCAATCGTGATTATAATGGTTACAAACTGGTTTATGCCAATTTGAAGTCTCACAACAGTTTTGAAAGAGATTACAGGATCTGAAATTAATTTGGTTAGAAAAAGATGTACTTGAATTCTCTGACACATCTTAACCCCTTATAATTAATGCACTAGCAAGACAACATGTTAGTAGGAATCCATTAATGAGGTTGAATCACTGTAGGGTAGATGCTATGGCTTTGCTCAAAAGAAGTTTGTACGGTATGAATGAGTCTTGATTGTCAAACCAATACTTCCTAACAGTTTCAAACAATTAATTTCTCTCAGCAGCAAATTCTTAGAAAAACTAGGTTTGTAGATAGCCTTTACTTTATAGTTGAATTTTTTAGGTGCATAATGATAGTTTATTGCTTGGAAGAATTCAATTTGATATTATCTATATCATCGACTGCCAAATATCTCAAGCTATATAGTTCTCTCCCTTAAAGCCATTTGTGGAGCATGGATTGTGTTTCTTTAAGATAGGAAGAATCGATACAGAACTTGGGTTACATGGTAATATTTGCCTGCTTCTTAGTTCTTTAGAATGGAAGCAGGATTCTTTGGGAAATTAGGAGAAGTCATAATGCACAGGCATTTCAAAACTCTGGCTAGTGAATATGCTTTAAATAGTAGACAAAACCTATGTTCATTACAAAGAATTTATATCTATGGATTTGGAAGTTGGGTGGATTAAATGCATTTTCTTTTGTCAACTGCTTGGTCCTCCTTGTACTAAATCTATGTTGTATTGGGCGAATTGAGCCATCCCTACTCAGTAGAATAACTGGAGAAAAGTGGAGATGAAGGGGGTGTAATAGTGGAAAGTAGAGGCTGGCAGAGAACAAGCGGAGAGAGTAGAACAAAAATGGTGAGACTGTACGTAAAATCCAGAGATGAGAAAATACACAAGCAATTTTTTATAATACTGTTGGTTATTCATGCTCGATTTCCTTGTATGGAAAAGTTCTATTATATTATTCCATATGTAGGACACAAAATTGTATAGGTTTGCTATCGGCCCTATGACATTAATATATGCCAGGAAAACTGAACTTCAAAATCTGTTTAGGATTATTTTTTGACAAATAATCGTATATAGTATCAGCTTATGCTGCATTGATTATAGCTTGTTTCATTTATTCATGCTTTTTGACTATATTTTAAAGGTTACCGGTTAATGATAAGAATAAATTTGGTCATCGGGCTTGTGTCTTGCAGTTTGATGAAGAAAAGGATCTAGTGACAGTGGAACGAATCTTGAGGGTTGTGTTTATAGATCCAGAACGGTCAAGTCCTGTAAGTCAAACTTTCCTGCTAATTGTCCTAGTACAGGTCCAAAGGATTGATGTGCATTAATGACAGTCTGGTCTTTTTAGGCTTTGGATAAATTGAAAAGACAGTTGGCTGAAGCTGATGCTGCCCTTGAAGCTCGGAAGAAGCCTCCTGCAGAGGCAGGTCCTCGAGTTGTTGCTGAAGGGCTTGTAATTGACGAATGGGTACGTATAATGTTGAGCATAGAGTTGTCCATTTCAATCTTTTTTTTAATATATTTTCATTATTTACATCCTAAATTGTCTGTCGCTTAATGTTTATAGAAAGAAAGAAGGGAGAAGTACCTGGCCCGCCAACAAGTTCAAGCAGTAGATTCAGTGTAATACGCAATTTGTTCTTCCAGCTAATTCTTTTCTTTTGGGGGAAACATTAATCAAGATATCTTTGTTATGCTACTGTTGCCAGCAACATTGGATTTGCTTCGAAAGACCTGTTGCGGGACTTGGTTGGTAGCCTATCGGTAGTTTCAGAACACAATCTGATGGGGAAAAAATATTCGTTGTATGATTGTCAAAATTCTTGTTCTTTGGAGGAACAGTCTGACTTGTACATAGTAGAGTTTGCTTGTTTTGTAAAATAAATGCATTTCCTCACTGCCATCTACCTGTGAAATAATGTTGAAATGACAGATTATTCATGACAAAGTCATTTTTCTGCATCTTTGTTATGATCAAACATAGGTCATCATAGAATTGTTTTGCACACTAGCTACTCGCTCCTCCTTCTCCCCTCCACCCAACGCATGCATCTTATGGTGCTTTTTAAAAGTGGATGAATTTCTTTTAATTTCTCAAAACCTAAGCTACTTCTATTCGGTGTATGTTTAGCGTCCTATCTTGGGTATTACTGAAAATAATGATCGTGTAATAGATCAATTAAATAAAATGGGACGTTGGTAGCCACCAAAGAGGGCAAGCCAACTGATTCGCCAATGATGCGCAATCGAATCTAGCAGACAACTAGCGTAACGTGTCTCCAATATAGGAAGAAACAAACTATATGCTGTGTTTCAGGTACAACAAAGTAGGCCACAATTTCAATTTTTCTCTCCAATATTACGTTAAAACAGAACTCGTCCTGTACATATATATCATCACTTAAAAAACTAATTACTGAGTATCACATATATCATCAGGAATCTGAAAATTCTGAGAACCAAAAATTTCATGAGAGCTGCTTTCAACAAATACCGCCAGGCCACACCTGCTGCAGTTGAATGTATCCCACAGGGAAAAACTAACTGTTCCCGATATTGTCTTCTTAGCAGGGTGGTCTTTGACAGTGCAGAGCTTTTCGAGTTTTCTAACAACATAGTCATTGGATAGAACACGCCCTTTGTTTTCCCCTCTTGGACAGTCAGTAACCAAACCAGTTTCGTATAGTGCTACCATTATATCTGCACCATCACAGTCCACCTTGCTCCTCAATGCTCCATTTAGGGTGACTTCCAAAAAATCTGATGTAGGCCTATTGAAAGTTGCCTGCTAGCAAACAATTTTGTTCAACTGTTAAAAACTTGATACGCAAATGTTAACCAATATCCGTAAGCTATTCATTAAGAAATCAAAAGCAGAATTTTTATTGATCTTGTTAACTTCATTCTTTAAGATTGAATTTAAGTAATTCATAACAATAAAATTTTATTAAAAATAAAAATATAATAAACATCTCAATTTTTAATAAAATCTTATTACTATTAGTTTGACTCCTTTAGCACCTAAATTCACAACTTAGCTAAAAGCCTAAAACAACGAGAATAAACAAGAAAGTTAGAATAAAAAAAAAGCCAAAAAGAATGCCCCACCACCAGTTGCTAATGTATTAACCTATTATTATTATTTTTTTTATTTTAATTTTAAGATCAATTCATTCTTTTTTGCAGAAAAATTCACGACCTTTACGTAAAATGCTTATATTAATACTACCAATTTCTTTTTTAATAAAAAAAAAAAAGATGAAAATCCAGAACGATCCCACTATTACTTTCTAAAACAGGCTTTGTGGCAGCGTAGCATTTGTTTTCTTCCTTTTAAACTAATCATAAAAATTAGAAACGAATAATAGAGAATGTAGTGCAGCATTCAAGGCCTAATGATAGAACACTTCCATAGCACACCAAGAAAACGTTAGTCTCCCCCCCTAGTTTATCTTCTAACACTAAAATAACACCATGATCATAAACTTCTTCATCAGTATGTTTGGATTAGACTTTGGTAACATTGATTAAAAAAAATTAATGACAAAATACTTTAAACTTGAAAATGATGTTTAATTGTTAATTTTTAATTTATCAAATAATAAAGCTTTTTGTTTTTTACAAACGGACATTTGCGGTGAAACAATCATGTTAGAAGTTGTTTGCAATGCTTTGTGTCAAATAAAAAAATGTTGTAGCATACTCGCAGAGGTCAACTCCTAAAGAACAGTTCATTTTTAAGCAGTGAGATTCCACTCGGATATACATCCACAAACACAAGTATTCGAAAAATTCCTTAGGATGAAAAATCTTCTTTGTATTACAATATAAATTATCATTACTACATGAAATTAGAATCTTCACTTAATCTACAAACAAAAGGTTAACACACTCTTTAAAGAACCATTTTTAGCACATTTTTTTTTAAATAATGAGTATATAAGTCAATCTCTTTATAAACTCTTAACTTGCTTATATCCTATTATATGTGGGACTCAACTCATATTTTATATTGGCTCCCTCACAAGTCTTTTTAGACTCCACATTTTCCACATGTGGATGCTACTAGCTCTTTGTTAGGGCTCATCTAATGTTACTATTTCTTTTATGATACACTTTTAACCACGTTTCTATCTAATGTTGTTGTTTCCTCTATGATGCACTTCCAGCCACGTTTTGAATTAGTCATTTGGATTGACCTAACTTTAATATCACTATTAAGTTAGAGGAGCATTTAAGTAGGGAACCTTATAATGAGTAGGACGCCACAATACAACCACAAAACCTTAAGATAATAGGTATATGAGTCTATCTCTTTATAAACTATTAACTTGCTCATATCTCATTTCATGTAAGACTCAATTCACACTTGATTCTAACAATTTAATTTACAAGCTCCAATCACCCTAAAAATATTTAGCTTTAAGATTAATATTTGCCGGAATCTAAAGCTTTAAAAATATTTCCACTATCTTATATTAGCTTTCAAAATGTAAATTTGAACAAAAACAAGGAAATTATAGAACAATAGAAAACAGTTTATAAAAAACAAGAAGAGAAAAAAGCATAGAAGTAATGCATGCATGATGCATGTGGTAATAAAAGAATAAAGGGAAGAATATTAGAAAACTGACCTGGAAGCGGGGCGCAGGGAACCTAGGAGCAGAGGAGATGGCAGATATGAGGGTATTCTCGTCATTTAAAAGGATTTGGGCCTTGCCTTGTACTACAACCTGTGGGGTAAACAAAGTGTCAAGCCCAAGGGCCTCAACATAGGCCTTCTGTCTAACGGTCCACTGGCTGGACCCAAATGGGTCCCTCCAGCCCATGTAATCCCAATAGTCCACGTGGAAGGCCAACAGCACCACCGGCCCTGCCAGCTGGAAGTCACCTCTCCCCAACCGAGAGAACAGAAGGTCCGCCGCCGGCGATGTGGGACACCCCTGCGACGTGAACATCTCCACCAGCACCGGTCCCTCACCCTCCGCCGCCTCTTCGGCCGCGCCGTTTCCGTCGTGAGGGGCTCCGGCGTGCTTGTGGCGGAAGCATGACCAGAGGCGAGGCGCCATTGGTTGGAGAAGGAGAGAATGGGAATGGTGAGGGTAGAAGATGAAAGGAACGGAGGGTGGAGAAAGAAAAGGGGCGAAGAAAATGGTGAGAGATGTTTTAATGGTTTTTACAAGCACTGCTATTAATATGTACAAGGTTTCATGTTTGTGATGCAACGTTGTATGTGTTAACGGAAAACGAAAGCAACAAATCAGATTACCGGTTTTTCTGTTAAAACTTACAATAACTAAATCTTGTCTTTCTTTAGATTACATGTCTACGTGGAAAACAATACCAAGATTAAATATTAAACCTTGCGCTCATCTTTGGCAAGGTGTATCTTATCAACCCAATCCAAACTATACTAAAATTAACAATTTGGTTTACATAATTGATCAATATATTTAATTTTAAAAATAATCAAATAAAATCTTTAAATATTGAATAATATTTATATTTTAATGTGCAATTTTTTTTATAAAATCTATTATTTGAGTATAAATTAAATTTTTTAAACATTGATGGATTGATTAAATATAATTTGAAAATCGTAAGATTTTACATATAAAGATTTTTCTATGTTTTTTTCATTTTTAAGTACATTTTTAATTATCTAATTTGAATCAATCTATTCATCAAATCGGGTTAATTTAGGTCATATGTCAATATATTTTAACTAAACTTACGATCAACCCTAATTAAATCATTTTATTTCAGAAGAATTTTGATTTTTAATACCTATTTTTAATAATTTTATATCATTTTTATTTTTTATTGTATCATCCATTAAATTTTTATTATTTTATTTCACTTTTTTCAGGCAAAATTATATTATTCACTCTCTAAATTTAAGTGAAGTTTAAATTAGTCTTCTACGTTTAGTTTTAATTTTACTTTAGTTCTCTAATTGTTTTTAATTTCATTTAATTCTCTATTTTTTAATCTAAATTATACAAATTAAAACTTTACTTAAGCATAGATAACAAAAAATATAATTTATCCTTTTTTATATTTCTCTTCACTCTCAAAAATTAACTTAAAAAAACCATTTTATTCGCAGTAAATATGAGACAATTTAACGCCCACAACGTCCAATATAAAAAAAAACACTAAGCTAAATACGAAGATATAACAAGGAATGAATATTTGTAATTTTGAAATGAAAAAAGTGTATTTTATAACGAAAAGGTAAGGTTAAAATGCAAACATGAATGAATAATATTCCTGTGCTAAACTCATGCCAAAATTCATTTAGCTAGTAGTAGCCCAAATAACCATCGTGTCATGAATATCCAAGCGAGCACCTTATGTGGTCCTATTCATCAAAATATATGAGTAAATATTGAATTCACAATATATAATGTGAATTATTGTATTTCTTCACTTCTGCCCAAAATTTTCAAACCAACTAAAGCATAGTTATAAGTGAACTATTTGATGAAGTGCCCGAGCACAAATTATAATTTCAAAATCAACATCAAGTCATTTTTCGAAATGAAATGTGTAAAATATTATACATTTCCATCGTTAATTTAATTGCTTGAGTTGAAGTAGCTTGGATTTATATATACTTGCTGTCTATTTTTGGTCCGAAGTTTCTCCATTATTAGAATGAAATTTCTGCCACGAACACCAGCCAAAATGTCACAAATCTAACAGACAATAATAAGAACTAGACAAATTACTAGAGCTCCACCTTACCTTGCGACAAGACTCAATGGCCAAATCGCACCGACAAAGCCACATATTATAGAACACGTGTACAACATTATCTAGGATTTGCAAGTGTACGTACGTAACTTTATCCTGAGTTATCTCTACCAAATAATATTGACAACGTTGCTTGTCCATGTTCCATAAAGGATAATAGCGCCAAACTTGATCCACGGTAATTATATAATCACATGGTAAAATAAAAGGGCTATTTTCATGGAATCTTTTGGTGGCCACACGTGGGTGATCCACTAGCACCACCCTTGTTAATATATATTTAAATCTCCACCACCGCCACCTTACCTTTTTAATCCCCATTTCACAACCTACTAGAAGCAGCTCATTTTGCTCTGTAACTCCCCCTTTTCAGCACCATACTCATTCTTCTTTCATTTCCAATATACTATTTGTTGCGGTGAATTTAACTGTAGTTCACCATGCTAGAAGGCAAGGCAGTGATTGGTGAGACAGACATGCTTCAAAACATGCAGCAAGATGCCCTGAATTTAGCATCAAAAGCATTGGATTTCTTCGATGTCACTGAGGCCATTGACATAGCCCGGTTTATCAAGAAGGTAAAATCTTAAAAGGCTAGCTCTAGCAGTGTTATGAGCTAGTTTAATGATTTTTTGTAAGATAAATATATAAAATGAATAGGAAGAAATATGAATTAATTTTTTTCTAAGTTAAAATTAATTAATTTCTACATTTTAACTTTTTTTAAAAGTTCTTTATTCGTTTAATTCTTCTAAAGGGAAGATATATAAAATGACTTTAATTTATAAGAAAAAATTAATTAATTTTACTTTATTTTTTTATTTTTATCTGAAATAAATAGTTATTGAAAATTTTATCTACCTAACAAGCAAGAAGTTCTTTGTAAGTTGATTCTTTGAAACATTTTTGTGTGATGTTATGGCAGGAATTTGATAGACTGTATGGACCTGGTTGGCAATGCATTGTAGGTACTGATTTTGGTTCATTTGTGACACATTGCTGTGGCTGCTTTATCCATTTCTGTATAGGCAGCTTGGCCATTTTGCTCTTCAGGGGTTCCGCTGCTCCAGAGGCACAGGAACATCAGTTCTCAACATTAGCAGCAGCTAAGGCATAACATTCATTTCCTTGTACATATTTATCTATTCCTTTCCGATGTAATTAAGGTGATGAAGATCTTAGACGTAAAGTTCCAATAACTTATATAATTCATTGTGTAAATTTCCGATATATTATTGTAAATTTGGTGTTATACACTTGCTACCTCGCCCTTATGCTTTTAGTTTTGATTAGTAAAATGAAATTTTTTAAATTTTAACGAACGAAACTAGTGAACCAGAGTTAACTCAATATGCAAATATTGCTCAAGTCTAGCATAACCAGAGTTAACTCAAGAAAAAAAAAATCTAAATTTTATAAAGCGCTTAAATGGCGGGAGATATTTTACTCATGAACTATTTTCACTAATTTCCTAGTTCAATCATTCGTTGCTGGATAAACATTTACTTGAAATGGGCACAAAAATCTATACAAATCACTGAAGAAACTTGTTTGCAAAACATAGCAAATCTCATAAATTAATATATATATATATATATATATATATATATATATATAATTTTAAATATTAGTATTTAAAATTAAGAGTTGTCACTAACTTCAGTTTTTGTCATAAAAAAATGTTAAATAGTGATAACAAAGAAACTTTAGAAAAATGTTAACATTTATTTTTAAGGTTGATTTTGAGTAATAGAAAGTGGTAAGTTCCTTTTTCTTTGTAAAAAACCTATCACATGAAAAATATAAAAGTGTAGTAGTTATTTCATTTTTAGTAAAAAAATTATCAAGTTTACATATTAAACAAATAATTAAAGAAGATATTCATCGTTTCTAAGAATAAATATTTAAAATCAAGTATAGAATAAATATTTTATACATCTAGTTATTTTTGTATTGCGCACCACTTTTTTTAACAAATTAAGCACACCATATCCTTTTTCCCCAATTATACATTATTCGATTATAAATTGCCATTTACCTAAAATATTTAAAGGCAGCGTTTCTTTTTTACTTATTTAGGCCCAAGGGCCTTGATCTCCATATCAATTACTGAGTTGGATCCAATGCCAGATCCACGCAGCTATATGCTAGCTCTAGCTCTTAGGCCCATGAAACCGGTAACTCAAACCCAACAACACACAACAATTCAGATTTCTTTTAAGAATTAATATTAATAAGCTCCTGGCAAAAAAAATGTCTATGAAAAGGAATTAATATAAATAATTTATACTTAATTAATCGATTAATTTTGAGTGATTTTAATAATAATAACGTATGATTTATATAATTAAAGATAAAATTTAATTATTATATACTTAATTAGTTTGCCACTGTCGCATCTTTATATGACCACGTTGTATTATATAAGAACTTTCTAATTATATAAACAATTTTAAATATTTTAAAAAACAAAAAAATCAAATATGTTATTTATAATTTATTAACTTAGACATATTTTCTTTTAAAATGTTGTTTCATAAATTAAAAAACATAAATAATAGGCATTAGTGTGTGCTTGAATGAACTAATTTTTGTTAATTATGTAAAAAAATTAAAAATATATTATTTAATTTTGCTTGGTAAATTTTTAAAATCAGTTTACAATCTTTGATTATTTTATTTTACAAATGAAATTACTTATTAAAGATAGACAAACTTTTAAAACTTGATATTAAAGTTGTCAATATATGTTTTAGTTAACTTTTATTTTATTATTCCATTACTTTATTCTTAATATTTAATTATTTTAAATACAAAAATATCATTACATATTATTATACATATTTTCATTTTTATCCAAAAAATTTAGTTAATTTATAAAATCTTAACATAACAGATTATTTTAAAAATCACTTCTCATCTAATATATCTAAACACAAAACTTATTTTATAATAATTTGTTTATTAAAATATAGTATAATATAAATAAAAACTATTTATTATTGATATTAATATATTCTAAATCTAAATAATTGATGATATATCTAAACACAAGTGAGTGATGAATCGATCTGGAAGTGATTCTAATGAAGAACGTTTTATACTTTGAAGCATAATTCGGGTAGAAGTCACGGTGTCGGTTGGAAGTACGGATGATTCTAATATATTATTTTTTTTCATCTTCTTTTCTTAACATTTCTCAGAAAGTTGAGATTGGGTGCGAACGACCCATGAGCTTTTCAACGTATTATACTCGGAACCCGAATGATACGTTTAATAATGTGATTGAAGTCCAGGTTCGCACGTAATTGAAGCCATGCACTTTTATGCATGATTGTAAATTAATATATCGTTCTTATTTCTTCTAGTCCATTATTAATAATTAATTGGAGTTCTATTTAATATCAGAACTATTTTGTTCTATACCTTGCAGGCTGATTCCAATAGAAAGTATTCCTCGTGTGTTGATCCTAGACAGAAGTACGTGTTTATGCAACGAAACACTTCATTACTGAAGTTAAAAACAATCTAAGGTAGGAGAATATGTGTAAGGCAAAGAATATGTTTGAAGTCTGAAGTTTTCTTCTTTTATACAGGCGTTGGTTTATTTTCTGACTTAGATTATATCATTCTGACTCCAATAACTATATTGTTAAATAAATATAAAATTTCCGTTATCAAAAATACCCGCCAAGGAGCAACCCTCTTTATAAATCTACCCACCCTATCACATTTTATAATTGAGAGAACTAGAAAAGATGTCAGACACGAATGATATGAATTTTAGTCCCAGAAATCCAATTCCAATAAGGTAAGCTGTTCAACACTCGATGATAAAGTATATTCCTTTTTGATAACTGATATGGTAAGAGTTATGGACATTCGATGATAATGATGAGATATGATCCCTGTCAATGTTTTTCATCCTAATTTTGCTTTTCTTATTCCTCACCCATCTAGGGGTCTCACTAGAGGAATTAAACACCCCCCCCCCCCACTAAGTTCCCAAAATAATAATAATAATAATAATAATAAAATGTTCTTGTCGAATTATTTTAATGTTATTATGACTTTTTTAATTGGTTATGCATGTCGGTTACATATAAGCACTGAAAAATGTTTTCTTTTTTTTAAATAAAGAAGTTTTATCTAACATTTTTGGGGGATTACACTTACATCATACCGAAACTATTGTACTCACAGTAATCCACATAAGTAAATAATTAGTGTGGCAAAAGCTTGTGAGGACTTGGCATAAACAGCATACATACATAGATTATAAATTAGCCTTTGATTTAGGGTAAACAAAATCCACATGCATATACATAATGTTATCAAAAGTCAAAGTCATCCTGATTAGGCTTTGGTGAGGTTAACAAAGCCGTATAGAGACGAAGCCTATCCTCTTCCATGGAAGTGCACCTTGAAGCAGGCCTTCGAGGCCTTATAAAGGACAAAGAATTCAAATTCAAACGATGCTTATACCTTCTCCAAGCCAACTGAATGGCCACAGCAGCCCAAGTTCTCCAGCCAGGTGAGTAATACCTAGCGCTTCTCTTAACCTTTTCCTTTACAAATGTGTACCTAAAATGTTGTGTCACATACTTCACATCCTTAGCTTCAAGCCCAAATGCCTCAGTGGTTTCAAGTGTGACCAAAGTGCATGATGATGGTGGAAGACGCTCTATAAAGGGCCTCCTTAGACACCATGAAAGTAGCTCATCCCCACTGAAGTTCCCTGGGCCTAACATGCAGCAACTTTTCACCCCATCTCGTAGGACTTGGCTGCTCTGAAGGTGACCCCTCACCACAAATAACATTCTTTGAACTGGGTCTCCCTCTCTAGTTATCTGCACCATAATTAAATTAACCACATATATACATACATTTACACTAGTGGATCAAATGAAATCGGTCTCATATTTAGTAAAATGATATTTTTAATTACATTTTATCAAAAGTGAATTTTATCAATCAAATAATTGAATTTAAAGTTTGGATGAAGTCTGTTAAGTGTACAAATTTTTACACCATTCAAAAGTTAGTAAATACTTTATTAACTCGTTTGACGTTAACTAATACTGTATAATAAATTTATGAACGTTTTTATTGAGTAAATTATATATATATGAATTTATCATTATAATATCACATGAATTAATGATTAGACTGAAAAATGTATTTTTAATAAAAAGTTATTTGTAGTATATTTTACAAAGTTAATGTCATTTGAAGTTATAGATAGGAGGATATAACAAGGCTCCTACATATAATTCCCTTGTTTGAAATTAACATTTGGCGTGATGTCTGTATGAAATATATATGCTATTAGTAATAAAGCAATTCAGAGGGATATAGAACTTACTGTTTCTCCCTTTGTGAATACAAGGGACTTCACACGGTCACAAATGTTCTCTAGCACCAAATCATCCATGTGCTGAAATAGTGGCACCTGAACAAAATACTAAAGCATTAGCATTCAGGCCCTCGTTACCCCCCTCGTTATTGGGTTTGGGCTTTTTTATACCTTCAGGGCCAATTAAGGAAGTTAGAAGAAGGCCTTATTTCAGTGGCTTTTTTTGACAAAAATTGTGTCAGTGGGTTTTGACATTTTGTTATAGTACTGCTTAGAGTACAAATTAGCACTTTAGAAAGAAAATTGTATGCATTTGTAAGACATTTAACCAACGTATATAAAGACAAAAAAAAGAGACTCATTTCAAATCATCGTTAGAAAGTGGGCCACGGCGAAGAAAAATCACTGAATCAAGCAATCAGTTAATTACAACTATGAACTAAAAACAAAACAAAGCAATCAATAATTACAATGAAACAAGGGTAAAAAAACAGAAAGGATAGCGAAAAAATTACGCTCAGTTGACACCTTTTCTAATTTGTACGGAGTTAATGATGCACAGATTAGACATTTAAGATTTCAATGTTTTTAGAATAAAGTTTGTAAGAATACATATCGATGTCGTGTTCTGTTGTGGTCATGTTTGAAATGTTAAATAAGATAAAAATATTGTGTTAAGGTACTTGCCAGTGCCTCCTCTAAAAACAAAATGAAACATAAGGGGAAAGATGTGATAAAAATTGGAGCACCTTTTAGAACCTTACCTGTCTCACTAAATCCAAACAAAGATGGTACTTGATGTCCCTTCTTAGACCCTCTGGGAGATTTTTTATCATTTGGCATTCATCAACCCCACGCATAGCAGCCCAACGTTGCCGCTCGTAGTTACGCACACGTTGCCGAAACCCATGTGGCAAGCGCCTTTTACTCATCCACCATTCAATGTTCCTCATCTTCAATTGCATTGCTTGCTTCTTTGATGTTGTGGCATGCAAAAATACCTATATGGGTCACCAAAATTAAAATGTATTGAACTATTTATGTAACCTAAGTAATGCAACCATTCTAGCTAAATAAAATAATTAACAGTTCATGAGTTATTGTTTATTATGTGACCCCATGTTTTTTTAATGTTAATGCATGTACCTTGATGTTTCCAATCAGCATCGTGACTAGAATGAGGCCACTAGTCAATACAATAATGTTGAAAACCACTTCAATCCGTTCCGTTGTGCTCTCTAGGTTCCCAAAAGTACTGGTCACATCAACAATTAAAAAAGAGTGAGACTGTTTGAGTAAGATATTGGAGTAACTATGAAGCAACAACAACGTCAAAGCCGGTACAGATAATACGCAGGTTTTTCTAGGTCCATGTATAAATAATACTCTGATTTGATGTTTCATGACGCTGAAATGCATGAACCACGTACATAATGATAATGCCATGAAAATTTATTTTGTTGACAATAAGCGTAATATGATTAATAATTGTAACTCCGAGATGAATATGTATTTAGGATAATTTTAAAAGCAAATATTTTGTTATATGAAATTATAGAGAGAGAGAGAGAGAGAGATAAGAATATAAGGGAAAATGATCCTTAAAGCGATGGTAAGTACTATAGTATGGATTGGAAATTTGTAACATGGTTGTTGATTAGATTCTAAAAAGAAGAGCTCCCCACCAAATTAAATTAAGTTTATTTAATTAATGTCCATTGAAATAAATAAATTTAGCAAATTTTATGCTCAGAAAATAGACACATAAAAAGATATGGAGTTGATTTTATTATCTAGCTTTTAGCTGTCACCATTGAAGAGATCATGATCGAAGAGGGAGATAAAGGGAGTGTAATAAAACAAAAGCGTCGTCAAAAGAATATAAGACACAGCGTATGCGAAATCGTAGAGGAGGGGACCGCAAAAGAAAATAGAGGTGGGTACCTGAGAGTCATTAGGCCCCAGAAGATGGGGAAAAGTATTTTCTCCAAACGGCTATCATTCGTTACGAGTTGAACAGTCCATTTATAAACACCATAGTCATAGTTGTCAGGGCTAGCTAAACAAGTAGACCTTGCTTCACTGTTCTCTGCCCATACCAACCTGGATTTCTCTCTCACAATGCTTGTGCTTCCATAGTATATAGGTTCTTTACAACACAGTGTTCTCAAGCCACAACCACTTGTTTTTGCACATTGCTCTTGGAGACACTTGGCTGCCCTCTGGATCCCCAGCAAATACCAACATGCTCCTGCTGCCTGTTTCAACATACACAAAAATTGGATATTGAGGAGCTAGAAAATATTTTATGATTTTTTTAAAGTTATTATTAACTTATTTATATTAAAAAAAATTATGATTTATTTATGATTTTGTTTTTTTAATAATGTTATTTATTTTAATAATTTTTATTATCAAATTATGTTATAAGATTTTATGTTATAACAGTCAAAAGTTTGTTAAGAATGAGAATACTCCTTGTAGTCCCTTAATAATATTTTGTTTTGCAAATAAAAAAATATGGTATTGAATAATTGTTCAATTGAGTTGCTCCGCCAAATGCAACCTTAGTCAACTAGTGAAAAAGAGAAGTTAAATGTAAATGTAAAGAATATACGTTACTATGTTTACATGGAAAAAATGGTAACCAACCCCAATAATTTAAAAAAGAAATGGTTTTGATAAAAATTTCTTACAAGAACTGTGAGATTAACCTTTGAGTCCGGGTGATAAGGTAAATTATGACAACACTTTATGTTACAGATAAAGTTGGCCTGGATCATTATCTAGTTCTACTGTAACTAACCTGTGTTGGCTACACTAAGAGTAATTCTAATATGACTTTGGCTCTAATTGTCCGTGCTTCAACTTGAAAATAATGGCTACAATTTGTTATGGGGACCCAAATCAAAAATCTGATTACACTTTGAAAGTCTTTAAGCTGAGATGAATGAGGTAAAAGTATAACAAACTCATGGACTAATTTTTTTTTTCATAACATTAATGCTATCCCCATGTTTAATTCGTACATCTCTATTTTTACGTGTATTGGATAGAAAGAAGAAAAAAGAAGAAGAAGAAATTATATATATATATATATATATATATATATATATATATATATATATATATATACACGTGTGTGAATGAATTCTTAATATTTTCACTCACTTTCTCTGACATGTATTTTTTTATTTCTTTTTTATATATTATCTATCACATCTTTTACTTTTTCTTTCATTATGTTCTTTTCATTTTTATGTTCCTCCTGCCCACTTTCTACCCAAAAGTGGGTGTAAACAAATAAAATATATAGTTGTTAGACTTATCTTGTCTAACCTGTCAATCAAGAAACACTCAAATGCAGTTCCTTTGTTATTAACCTTTTTTCTTTTCTGTGTATATCAATTGATTAACTTTGAATTTTTCAAAAAACTTGTTGCGCTTCTTTACATCTTTCTTGTAATGCTTTATAGCATAAAGCACCTCAATATTCCGCCCGCTTTTCGGGGAATATTAGTGTTCATTTGCAGATAATTTAGTGATATTAAATTAAACTTGCTCAATCGGAAGTCATTGTTAGACAAATTTGTGTTATTAAGTAAATCATATTTTACAAATTATATAGGAGCGTTTATAGCCAGCTTTATTAAATTGGGATCATTGTCGACAACTATATATTAATAGTTATTATTTAGAAATATACACGGCATGAAAAGACACTAAAGTGCAACACTTACATGGGAAGCTACAAAATACGCGATCATGTTGAGGGCGATACTCCACCAAACGGTCCCAAAAATGTAGCCAGAGAGGTTTTGAATGCGACGCAAGAGACAAACTGAGTGATAAATTTTGGGAAGGTATTGAAAGAGGAACATGATTAAGAAAACTGTCATCACCAACGTAATTGATCCTTTCTCCAACAGAGACGGAATTGCTATCCATAGCACAATCTGCAAAATGGTAAAAAAAAATTATATATATATAACTACTTTTGAGTTTTCTTCTCATTGACAGAACTCTGATACCATACTGCTGTAAGCCCTATAATAAGCACAGTATTTGAAGCAAAACTCAGCATAAAATTAATACGTTCTATACTACAAAGAAAAACTCGATCGATGCTTAGTTCTCAGATTTTATTTTCTGATATAAAATATAAATACGATGTAAGAAATCTATGTCCATTATACGGGCCAAACTTAATTTACATTACATCCTACGCATTCATTGTTATTGTGATTCCCTTAATTTTTTTAAAAAAGAAAATGTTGTTTCGACCGAACCAATTTTAATTTGTACACCATTTTACGTAGATAATAATATATAATTTTTTGCTAATTAAGTAGCATGTGGTCGATGAAGATATTAAGTGTCCCCAATAACTACATAAAGCACACCGTTAACAGGAAATGGTAAGTAATTAGCCGTTATAAAAATGTTACTCAAAAAATTAGTGTACAATAGTGTGAAATTGAAGATTAAAAAATAAAGATAAGTTTGATAAACAAATGTATGTAGGTATCGTGCTTCCTCAAATGAAAAAACATGCAATTCTGTACTACTGTTTTAGGTGACCACGATATGATATAGTAAATTGCAATGGCACGATAGAATAATTAAGTACTGTGTAGTAGTATATGAATTTGAGGCACTCCTTATTGTTGGCAACTTACTGTAAAATGTTGTTGTGTCCTTGTTATGCCACCCATTTCCGTCACACTGACACAAATAACGTGGTCTACCTTCTAAGGAAAATGACAAACGTCTCTCTTGTAATATGAGGTCAATATAATGCAACATCGGATAAAGAATTATATACGAGGTAATGCATATATATGGTAGTACTCCAAGCTCACAAATTAAGTTTAAACGAAAAGGCCATACATATATATCATCAATTAAATTATTTTTGCCATTCCTAGCCATACTTTAGGTAGAGTTTGATGAAATGCCATTTATTTACTGGTTGCCTCCTTTGTTCTATGACTAGTTGAGACAGAAATTGAATTGTCTAGAAATTAGAAATATATAATTCCACAATAATTTATTAGCATTATTGTTATCGGTGAAGTATTTTGCATATGTTGTTCTGTGTAAGTGTTTAATAAAGGTAATTAAATACCAACCAAATTTTCTTAAGATACTGTCTGCGAAATTAAAATTTAAAAAATATTAATATATTTGTATTATATTAATTTTTATAAACCTTTTTTTATTAATTCCATTAACTAGCTATCCCTCAAATAAATTAATGAAGATTTGGATGGAGTTCATTAAGTGAAACCACTATGATTAGGACGTCCACTCGTCATACCAAAATAAAATAAAAATTTATTAGAGAAATGTCATATAATGATTATTTTAAGAAAATTAAAAAGCAAAAGAAATTATGAAAAGAGTCTTCCAAGTCACAAGAGAAGCAACTCAGAAATTTGACCAGCTAGTACGTTGGTTGTGTTCAATTCAGTACTAGTCTTTATTTATTTTCAACTGTAGATGCCGTTGTAGACTCTAATTCACTCGGCGTACAGTGATGAGACCAACGAAATTATCCTCAATTATACAATAGAAACCCTTAATTCTACAACCTCTGAACAAGTGTCTGGAACATTGATAATATTAATATACGTAAAACCCCTTTGACAAATCTTAAACATATAGTGACAGAGAGACACGGGGCTTGCGAAAACATTCACATGATGAAGTGTAATGCAGGTAACCATCGCAGTCTGCATGCATAAAAACAACAAACGGTTTCATGCACTTGTCCTGTCCTCCTTCACTTCCCACTCTACCAAACTCCAATACTTCCCTCCCCCAAAAATATCTCAATCAAATCGTATTTTCATTTACTTCAATAAATTTCCTATATAAATTTATTAACTTCAACTCTAAAAATTTAAATTTAAATAATAAATTCAACCTTTTAATTCATTTAAAAAAATATTATAGATCTTGTTAATTGGTTTCCTTTAACTGTTCCAAAGATACTAATTACAGAATTAATACATAATTTATTTTATTAAAAACATGTTAATATGTATTAGAGCGTATAAATGAGGATGAATTTGTGTATATTTGTTAGAAAAGTGATTTTATTTTAAATTATTTTAGGACACCAGTTAGCCTATCTAAAATTCATTAACAAAAATTAAAAATCAATTAGCTGAGTAAATTTCGAAATGAAATGAAGGAAAAGAAGAGAAAAGAGAATAAAGTAAAAGTGTCTAACCTGGGGAATAGGGAGAATGACAAAGAGGTCAAAGAAGAAGAGCCGGTTGGCGATGAGTTTGGTGGTGTCTCGTATGGGAATGGAAGAACGCTTGGCCATCTTCAACTGCAACCACATGTTCCAAATGTGCAACGCGTCCGTCATGCAGCGGAGCACCGTCACGGTGATCACCAGCCACCCGTCAACGAAGAGGCACATACACGTGTCGCTTATAGAGAGAGCGTAGAAGAATAAGGGGTCCACGAACAACCCCGTCGCGCACACTAGCAGGAACACCCTGTTCCATTCTTCAACCCATTTGGCTCTCGGCTCCACCAATACCCGACCCGAAAACCCGCTTTTGAGTTCTGGTATTTGGTTGTCGATGGTAACATTGTTGTGGTCTTCGAGGTCGGTGTCTTCGTCGTCGTCGTCTTGGTCTTCTTCATCAGTGGAGGGGTAGTGCATGCGTGAGTGGTGTTGGAGAGGAACAGTGTGGGTGGTGGCCATGGAAGAGAGAGAGAGAGAGAGAGGGGTGAGAAGAGGTATTTATTTATTTTTATTTACGAATAAGGGACACAAATAATTGGAGTAGCTGGCTAGGAAGCTGCGCAAGAGAGAGAAGTGGGGAGCGTCCAGGCACGTTCACAAAGAGAAATCATATATTTATAGTCTTTTTTTTTCATGGGTTTTGTTGTCATTTAAAAAGAATCTTTTTTATGTGACTTTTTTTAACTGTGCTTTTACTCTCTCTTTTTTTAATTATTTTTATAAATATATTATAAAATGGATAACTAATTATTAAAAAATCTAAAAATTAATGAGAATAATTGCAATTTTTCATAACTTATCTGTAAATTAATCCATCAAATATATTTTATTTAAATGTTGATAGACAAAAAATAAATTAATAAATTAGAAAAAGAGTAAAAGAGTAAAATAAAAAAATTCGATAATAAATTTTACAAATTTATTATTTTTCAATTGAGTAAAACAACTTTAAGTGACACATTAAAAATAAATAAATATAAGTCTTCTATAAACGTTTTATAAGTTTATAACATTTCTTACTTTAAAATGAAACATCGTCTCTTTCTTAAAAAAAAATAATTAGCTATATATATTAATTAAGATAATAAATTTTCTTAACGATGCTTAATTTGATATATCTTTCATTTTCTTCTTTAGATCTTAATTTTTCATTTTTCTCTTGAAAAATAAAAAGAAGAAATAACAGTCGTGTGGATCTGTTAGAGCGAAATCTTTTTTTCTTTGAGAAGCAGGAGGGCTATAGATTTTAAATGTTTATATATACAAATCTCTTACTATGATAGATAATCATAAATAACGCTATTGAGAGTAGTTTTCCAACAATTAATTTTAAATATTTTAGTATAAATTTTAATATTTAAAAAAGATAAACTATAATTTCAAAACTTAACATAAAAATAATGATAAATCTTCCTATTATTTAATTTTCTTTATATAAAAGTGATAAATGTCTTTAAAAAACTAAAAATTAATATTAATTTTCAAAATGTGTGTCACCTTTTTAAAAGTATAAAAATTTGTAAATTAAAATAATAAAAATTTTAGCATTTAAAAAAAATATGTTTCAACCCATTCATTTTCGGTAAGTTGCAATAAGCAAATTGCATGGCTCATAATTTATTTAGTTTAGTTTTGAAAATTAATTTTAAAATATTTTTCAAAATTGTAAAACGAATAAACTTTTTAAGAAATGCTTTTAATTATACATGTGATAATAAATGAGTTCATAACCTGTAAGAGAGAATGACGGTAAAACAAATGAAAGGAAATAATAAATATATTAAATTATGAGACTTTTTTTTTATATACATAGCACTGTTAGAAAAGCGTAATTTACAGATACAGATGGATAAAAATTTATCTTTAATATAGATGGTTTTTTACAGATGGATAATTGAATATATTTTTTTAAAATTTTGTGAAAAATCTATCTGTAAATTTATCTATATTATGAACAAATTTTTATCAGTCTGTAACATCTATCTGTAGTTGGCCTGTCATTTAGCGTGAAATATTATGACAGGACTTACAGAAAGAAAAATATATTTGTAATTTATAAATGAGAGAAAATTTTGGAGCAAAAATTATAGACAGAAAAATCAGTCTGTAAATATTGCCATTTTTTACCGATTTTTCATTTGGTAATTTACAAATGTATTTTTTTGTCTGTAACTATATATGACAAATTTACAAATGGATTTATCCGTCTATATTTAAACTTTTAAAACGTATCATTTCATTAAACTATTTATAGACAGATTTTTTCGTCTAAAATATGTGAAACACATAAAACTGCTTTGCCTCATTCTTCTTCCTCATTTTTTATAATTTCTTCTCTCTCGCCTCTCTCTATGTGTCTCTCCCTAGGAGCTTCAATTTTTTAGCCTTTGCGAGTGATTATAGCATCAATTTGAAAGATAATTTGCATCATTGTGTTTCTGGTACGATACTCTAACTTTTAATCAATTTAGATTTTTAATTTTTGATGTATTTTAGAGACTTAATTTCTAATATAGAGTTATAGGATTAGAGATTATATGACTGGGAGAAGGGCATATATGTTCTTCTCCTAACCTGATTATTGTATGTTGTGGGATTGTTTGTATTTGCAGAGTTTGTAAAATATGCATGTTATGGAGTTACAAGGGGATGTGCTTTAAAACGGTTTAGGATTATGATGCGTTTATTTTTTATGCATTGATTAATATATTGTTATATAATATATTAGTTATGTGTGATGAAAATTTTAATTTTTGTATTTAGTGTAAATAAACAAAGGAAATTGACATGTACTAGAGGAGATTCTGTTAAAATTTATATTAAAAATTTGTGCAATGTATAATAGAAGGTTGATACAATATTGTATATTTGTATTAGGTTTATATAGTTCTTGATTCAGATGTTTTTTAGAAATTGTCAGTGGATGTATAATAGGTTGCACCCAAGTCAGGGGAAATAAAACTTGAATTCTTTGAAGGTATAGAGGAATTCATATGTGTTTGTTGTAATTTGCATCAATTCATCACCAACCAAAAAGTTAGGTGTCATGTTCTAAGTGCAAGTGTAGAAAGTTTTTGGATATTAATTCAATTAGGTATGATTTGTATAACTTTGGATATAAACATGATTATTGGATATAGATTGAGCATGGAGAAGTAGTTAATATGAAAAATCAAGTAGGCAATTCAAATATATTGCTATCAAGTGAAGATATATGTAATGTAAGTTGGGAAGAAAGCAGTAGTTGTTATCAAGAAATAGTTTATGATGATGTTGGTCTTGAATTTGGAAATTTTTTATGATTTTGAAGCTAAATAAGAACCTAATGGAGAGGCTACAAGGTTTTATAATCTTTTAAAGGCAGTAAACAAGCCTTTATGAGATGGGTATGTGCATTCAGAGTTATCTTTAGCAGCAAGAATGTTAAGCATAAAGTCAAAAGGCAATTAAAGTCAGAGTTCATTTGATCAATTGACTACATTAATTAGTGAGCTTACTCCAACCTGACTCAATTCTAAAAGACTTTTACAAAAAAAAAAATTAGTTTCCAAACTTGAATTAAAAGAAGTCAAAATTGATTATTGTTTGAAAGACTGCATGTTGTATTATAAAAATGATATTGTTTTGATTAATTGCAAATTTTGTGGAGAACTTAAGTTTAAACCAAGAAGAGGTGGTAGAAGTGGTAAACATAAAGATATACCGCAAACTAGAATGCATTATTTGCCTTTAATTCCTAAGTTAAAAAGGTTGTATGCGTCTATGAGCTCAGATTCTTATATGATGTGGCATGTTGAAAATAAAAGGAGTGATGAGATAATGACTCACTCATCTCATGGTGAGGCTTGGCAATATTGTGATCAAGTGTATCTTGAGTTTAGGGTTATGTGCATCTGATCCTAGAAATGTAAGGTTAGGGTTATGTGCTGATGGGTTCACTCCAAACAATCAGTTTAATAAAACATATTCTTGTTGGCCTATTATAGTTACACCTTTTAATCTTCCTGCGGAATGAGGATGAAAAATTCATATTTGTTCTTGACTTGTATAATTCCTGGTCTAGAAAATTCAAAGGCTAAAATTGATGTATACCTTGAATCTTTGATTGATGAGTTGAAAGAGTTGTGGTGTGATGGTGTAGTAACTTATGACTTATCAAGGAAGCAAAATTTTAATATGAAAACAATACTAATGTGGACGATAAATAATTTTCCTGCTTATGAAATGTTGTCTAGATGGATGACTCAAGAGAAATTAGCATGCCCAATTTATATGGAGGATACAAAGGCATTCACTTTGGAACATGGAGGAAAAACTTCATGGTTTGATTGCCACAAGCGATTTTTAGATATGAAATATCCTTATAGGCGTCAAGCCTACAAATTTAGGAAAGCAAATGTTAAGAATGAGGACCTTCCCGTCCGTTTAAATGATCATCAAGTATGGGATAGAGTTAGACACTTGCCAAAAATAATAGAAGTAAGAAAATTCATTAGGTTTCCTGGTTATGGGATGACACATAATTGGACTAAACAATATATTCTAGGAGCTCCCATATTAGAAGGATAACTTAGTTCGCCATTGTTTAAATGTGATGCATGTGGAAAAAAATGTATTTGACAATATCATAAATACTGTAATGAACACTGATCGAACTAAAGATAATGTAAAGGCAAGGCAAAATTTAGAAGAGTATTGCAGGCATCCAGAATTGAGGTTACAACAACTTGCAAATGGTCAATGGTCAAAGCCACAAGCAAGTTACACTCTGACTTTACCACAAAGACAATATGTGTGCAAGTGGGTGAAGGACTTAAAAATACCTGACAGTTACGCTTCAAACCTCGATCGTTGTGTGAATGTTGAATAAAGAAGATTTTTTGGAATGAAAAGTCATGATTGTCACATATTTATGAAGTATCTTTTACCTGTTGCATTTAGGAAACTACCTGACCATGTTTAGAAGTCATTGACTGAGTTAAGTGAGTACTTTAGGGACCTGTATTCACCTACTCTTAGGGTTAAAAACCTATTAGTGATGGAAAAAAATATTCCTGTGATTTTGTAAAAATTAAAGAGAATACTTTCGTTTGATTTCTTTGACTCTATGAAGCACTTATCTATACACTTAGCGTATGAAACATGTGTATATGGACCAGTACAATACAGGTGGATATATTCGTTTGAATGAGAAATTAGAGGATTTAAAAGGACTGTGAAAAATAAAGCTCAAGTGGAAGGATCCATATGCTAAGCATATATATCAAAAGAGACATCAAATTTTTTTCACATACTATTTTGAACCTTATGTTCAATCAAAAAGGACTTAGGTTGGTTGAAATGATGATGGGAGGAAAACTAGTAATGAGTCAACTCTATCTATATTCAACCAATCAGATCGTGCATTTAGGAAATGCAAAGAATGATGGATCTTAGGTGATAAATCAAATGTCGCACACTTACACATCTTATTAAATGATGATGAAGTTCAACAATTCAAAATGTAAGTGACTTATGATTGCTTTAATAACTTTTGTCGATCATGGTTATTCAAATCTAATTAATGATG